GGTGAGCAGGGATGGACCGCTCGACGTCTTACCTCCCTGTCGCCCACACCACAAAGGTACTGTCAAAATGGGTCTGTCATGTCCATTACCACCAGGCGATGAGGCGGACGACGAGGAGGCGGGCCGAGAAACTAGATGTGATTTAGGAGCGTGGGGAGTATCCAAAGAAATAGGCTGTACACGAACATCTTGGGAGACTCCAAAAGGGTGCACGGTGGTTGCTGTTGACGGTAGTACCGGCTGAACTCCGCCATCGGCTTGTCATTTTTTACCCCTCCAGCTCCTTTTTGTCGAAGTGGAAGCGTCAGACGAGTGCTCTGTGTGTGAGGACTGTTTCGTGTCCGATGTGTCTGATGAGCGGCGGGCGCGTCCTAAGGGGTGATTTCGGTGTGGGTTGCGTCCTGTAGGGCGTCTATACGAGGTCATGCGCTTTTTCCACCGACCCCAAAGGGTGGTGAGACCAATAACAAGCAACCCGGTGGTTGTGAAAAAAGCGTGGCAACAACACAACACAGCAACACAGCAGTGTGGAACCCGCGTCCAGCACCCGCTTACCGTGTAATGCCAGCTGACGCCAAGTTTCAAGGAGTGAAGCCGTGGGCGGTGGCTTGCTCCTAGAGATAGATGAAGGTTCTGTCGTTGACACGCTTGTCCACGACCACGTTGAGATGGGAAAGTTGCTTGTTATTGCTGAGAGACGATCAGCAAAGGTCTGGGATGAAGTGGGGATCCAACTTCATCTAGGGGGTACACAGAGTAGACAATTCTAAGGGGGTAGGGGTCAGAAGGGTATACCTCCTGACCGACCCGCATCCTATCAAGAATAAGATGTACCCTATTATTTATGCTAGCAGTCACACTCCTTAACACTGTCTCATGAGAGCAGCCAAAAAATTTCAAGCCCAAATTCGTGGAAACGACAGAATGAGACTCGAACGAACGAAAGTGAGCTTTTCGCCTGGGTCAGCTTGTAGACTATACTGCTGCTGTAGCATCGATGGCGCCAACTGACTGACCAAGGTTGTTGTGTGTATGTTTGACGTACACATACATCACCATACCATCATATAACTTTATTTAGAGTGTAGTTCAGCCATGTTGTTGTTGTTGTTGTTGTTGTTGTTTCTCACATCAGCTCTAAAAAAAGAAAGATTGGGAGCCCGTGGTCTCAAAACCCGGCATACACGACCTCACGAAGAAACAGAAAAAAATAGGGCACAAAAACCACTCGGAAGAGACACAAAATGATAGAAAGAAAGACCAGCTACCGCACCAAACGAGAAAGAGCGTCGAGGAGACCGATCAAAATAAAATAAAAGGAGAACGGGGAACGCTTCCCACACCCGCCTACAACGCCGGAGGGTTCCGTGCCGGGTTCCCGCCGACCAGGCATCCCCCGCCCTGCACCACACCCCAGGGGGTGCAGCAAGACGGGGGGCGAAAAACAAACACATATATATTCCCACAAAAAAAATAAAAAATCGAAGGACAACGTACACCAGTACCAGGTACTACAGCAGTGCAGTATGCACCAGCGCATTAGTGTAGGGTAGGCACCGCACCAAAGAGGCAGCAGAGGTGGCAGGCAGCCAGCAAAGGAAAAAACAAAAATAACAAGGAGCTCGAGGTATCGTCCAAGATCATCGTAGAGAGGGCATGGAGAACAAGAAAGAAAGAAAGAAGAAAAGCACAAAGAGAGGCCGGAGGCAATACTAAGAGCATAAAGCTTACGGCAGGGAAAAGGGAACACAGGGTGCGACAACATCATCAGTTGGGTACGTCGTTCGCCGCAAGCGCGGCCTTGGCCGCCCTACTCGCTTCTACAGCAGTGTCCGGTCGCCGTTTCTTCCCCCCCCCCGCCGCTTCCCCGATTCTCTTTCTCTTCGGGCCCGGGGCGGCCGTGCTCTCCGTCTCTGCTTCCTCCGCGCGCTGGCGCTGGCGCTTCGCGGATGCTTCCGCCTCCTGTCTGTGCCATTTCCTCATGAACCATGCCGCCCCGTCCTCGATCTTGTCGTACCACGCCTCCTGGTCCTTGGCGCTCTCTTTCCATCTCCCCCCCTCCTTCTCCTCTTTCATGCCAAACGCCACGAGGTCCTCTCCTAGGCGATACACCCAGTCGCTCTCCTGCCCGCCCCGGTATCCGGTACCCCCCGCCATCGCTCCCAGCAGCATGCGCTTGGGGAGGCGGTTGTCCTCCATGCGCATAACGAAGCCCGCAAAACACAGCCTCCGTTTGCGCACGGTGGCCTCGATGGTTTCCTCGCAGCCGGCCTGGATGAGGGCCTGGGCGTAGGACAGGGGTCGGTCTGAGCGCTTCCGCTTGCTCCAGCCGATACACCGTGTCAGGAACTGGCGGTGGGTCCCATTCAGCTTGGTGTAGTGCTCCGCTGCCAGGCTCCACGAGGCGCACCCGTATAGGAGGGTCTGCACCACTTCAGCCTGGAGTAGTCGGATCTTGAGCTGGCGGTTGGCCCGTTTCCTGTCGTATATCGGCTGTATGTATGCATAGTTGCCCTTTATTTAGACAAAAAAAGCGGGCCGTGAAACTTTTGTACCTAGATGTACCTGCACTTTGAAGGCAGGTCGTGCACTGCAGTGGGCCGGCCCCCTATCTTGTAGTGCCGGTAAGTCTCCCTAAGTATCCAATCAATGTCGGACACCTGGCACTATTCGAAGGAAAGAACGACTTGGGTATTTCAGTGTGTGCGAGCCGAAAACACCGGCACACTATACGGGCACCCGGCACCAGTCGACCGGGACACTACTAATACAGGGCTCACCACTCACCACTCACCACCTCATTGTACTACGTACGGCTGCATAAGAAGACTATCAATCGGCACGGCTAAACACCCCACCGGTGGGGTAATTTCTTAACCACCCCAACGGGGGGGCGGTTGACGCTTAGACACCCCACCACCTGTAGCTCGCTCTACCAGACTTCAATCAGCACAGGACTTGAGCGAGCGTGTTGCGGCGTTGCAGGGCTATCATTAGACCCATCGTGAGGCGGAAAGGGCACAGTTTTGGTGGTGCCATGGTTGGTGGGGACCATGCGCCGGTGGGGTAAATAACATTATGGACCCCACCAGTTGGATCTCCCTCTACAAGGCTCCGATCGACACACAAGTACCTGCAGGAGTTTGTGGTCGATGCATGCACAGCGCACAGCAACGTGCAACACCTGGGGCAGCGAACGGGTCAGGAAATCCCGCGGCATAGCGCCAAACACCTGACATGGGTATCGAACACTGCCTATTTTCTTGCAGGTAGACTCTCCTTCAGATACAAAAGATCCACCCACTGCTGTATGTAACCCTACAAGACTCCATTCGACACAACACATGTGTGGAACACGCACGCACAGCACATGGCAGCTGGCAGCTACTGAGGCGACCAGCACATGAAGTATTCCAGCCACACTGCTTTGCACACACCCAGTTGGACCCACACACTACCTTCCTCATTGATGGTGGGTGACATAGCTTACCCCACCAGCTGTACGTCGTCATAAGACTACAAGAAGACTGGAGTCGACGCAGGACACGCTCCACTGTGTTGCTGTGCTGTATAACTATCGTATGACCCATCGTTAAGCCCAGACGGTTCCGTTCAGGTACTACCACGGCCGGTGGAATGTGCCCCACCGGTAAGGGACTTGTGGCAGAGTAGGGCCCCCTGGATATTATGGGTAAATAATAATATCTCCAACAGGCACCTCCCCGGGCTAACGGGCACTCCCCCCCCACAACGGCCACTCCACCCTCAAAACGGGCACCACCCGACGAACGGTCACCACCCTGACAAAAGGGCACACCCCCCCATTTACGGGCACTCCCCCCCGACTACAACGGGCACCCCCCTGGCGTGTTCGGGGCACCCCCAGTGTATCTGCTCGGGGAGTACAGCATATGTGACCAGCAAATACAGTGTATGTAGCGGACGAAGGGAAAACAGTGAACCCGAAAGAGGAATACAGCTTATTTGATGAGGTAGTTCAATTAGATATGATGAGGGAATACAGTGAATATGATGAGGGAACACAGTGTATCTGGTCAGGAAATAGAGCAAATATCATCAGCGAATACAGCCTATATGATCAGCAAATAAATGCCACAGTTTATGTGTCCAAAAAAGGGAAAACAGTAAACCTGACCAGGGGAACCGGCGTGTTTGATGAGGGAATATAGTGAAACTGATTACGGAGTACTGTGAAAATGATTAGGGAATACGATGCAGTGAATATGGTCAGGAAACACAGTGAATCGGATCAGGGAATACAGCGAATTTGATGAGAGGATACAGTCAGTGACATTAACGAGGAAATACGGTGTATGTGGTGGGAACGCGTAGCTATCCCTGAAGACTGATGATGCCTCTCTTTGTTCTTGTTCTCTTTCTTGCTGTCTCTCAACACAGCAGTACACTTGCTGTTCTTAGCTCCGTAAATAGACTGACTGAAAGGAAGGGGGCGCGGGCCGCTCCTTGCTGAGAGGGGGGCTTCTATTGCTTTATCCCCTGTTAAGCAGTGAGCAAAAGGAGTTGCAGTTCCCGCCAGATTAATGCATACATACATATCTCGCCGAGAACTGCCATTGAGATCCTTGTACTCAAA